CTGGCTCTTCCCTTCAGAGGATCGGCTGCTGTGTGTTGCTCAGCCTTCGGGCCGTGTGGGTACCACCCCACAGTGTCAGCAGAATGCTGCCGGGAGAGAATACCTACACAAGCAGTGTTATCTGCTGACATGGAAGGCAGGGATCCACTTACAGCCCAGACTTGGCCCTTGCCTCTTGTGAAGGCACCAAACAGTGGGCTTCCTGACCTCCTCCCTCCCTGTCACTCGCTTTCTCTCGCACTAACTAAACCTCTGTGTGGTAGACGGCTTTGTCCATCATTTGTTTGCATCCCTGAGACTAAAGGAACAGAGAGAATATGGATCAGGGATGTGAGTCTGAGCTCTGTGTATCCCACACATGAATGGGCTTCTGGATGCACTTAACCAAAGCCTCGAGCCTTCAGGAGAGGGAGACGCACATCTCCAATCCTCCACACGCATTAACAAGAACAACAATAACTCACTGCTAGTGAATCCATGTCGACTCATAGAGACGCTATAGGACAGGGTAGAACCGCTCCCCGAGGTGGCAAGACCATGACTGTTTGTGGGAGCAGATAGATCTAAGGAAGACAACGCAGTAGGCATTGGTTTTTACTTGCTTATTACAATGAAGGAGCCATCCACTTCCTTCCACTCGGCAGTATCGTGGTGGCTCGTGTGTTACTATGAGGTTGAAAGTGATGTTATTAACATTTCAAATACCTGTCGGTCCACATAGTGGGTTACGTGCTGGGCTGCTAACAGAAAGGATGGAGATTCAAAACCACTTGGTGCTCCACTAAGAAAGATGACGCTTTCTGCCCCATCGAGATTTACAGCCGTAGAAATTAGGAGTTGAAATGGGAGTGAGTGTGAGAGTCGGTCAGCCACCGGGGACAGGCTTCAGTGGGGCTGCCTGACTCGGAGCAAACATTGGCCTATGAAACCTCTCTGGATCACAGCTGACCAGTGTCTGGCACCATGGCCACCACCATGGGCTCAATCACACCCGGGTTATGAAGAAGAAAGAAGACCAGGCAGCCTTTCATTCGATCATGCCTCAGGTCTTCTTGCGTTGGCGCCAGCTCACTGGCCACTAACAGTCACATACTGTATTAGTCTAGGTACTTTAGAGAAACAAATCCACAGCAACTCATGTATAA